CGAGTCCGGCCGCTCGGCCCCGTCGAGCGCCCGAGCGACGCCGGGCGCGGGGTCGGGCGCCTCCGTCACCCTCTTACCAGGCTGGGCAAGGCTACAAGGGCGGGCGGCAGCCTGGCGTCACCCGCTGCTCCGGCCCGGCACAGGACGTCGCCGTCGGGGTCCTCCTGCGGGGCGGCCGTGCTGGTTAATCAGAGATGGGTCAGTCCCGTCCTCCCCGGCCCAGAGCCCCCGAGCCCGAGCCCTCGCTCCGGCCGCGCCGCGCGGGCGGCCCCGGGAGCTGCGGCGGGGCGGGCACCAACCGACACCAACCCCAAAGCCCCGAGGGCGCTTCACGGCCCCGTGGAGCCGGCCGTGGTCACATCTGGGATCAACCCCGGAGCCGGGGCCAGCGGGATCATCCGCCGGGAACCCTGGAGCCCTCCCACCGCCCAGCCCCGCGCCTCACCTTGGAACTCGGTGTTGTCCAGCCCCCGGATGGCCTCCACGGCATCTTCAGCCCGCTCCATGTGCACAAAGGCGTAGTCCTTGACGATGTCGCATTCTATGACGGGGCCGTACTCCTCGAACTTGGCGCGCAGCTCTAGGTTGGTGCAGGCGGGGCTGATGTTGCCCACGTGCAGCTTGGTGGAGGCCTTGCTCTTGTTCTTGCTGGCCTCCACGTTGATGCAGACGCCGTGCAGCTTGTGGTGGTGCAGGTTGCGGATGGCGTCCTCGGCCGCCGTCTTGTCCTCGATGTGCACGAAGCCGTAGTTCTTGATGATGTCGCACTCCAGCACCTTGCCGTACTGCTCGAACAGGGAGCGGATCTCCTGCTCCGTCGCCTCCCGCGGCAGGTTCCCGATGAACAGCTTCACCATCGCGACCCGCCTGCGCCGGAGAGCGCCGCCGTGAGCCCCAACCGGCCCCGAAACCCCCCGAGGAACAGCCCCAGCAACAGCCCCAAAACCCACCGAGGAACAACCTCAGGAACAGCCCCAAAACCCCCCGAGGAACAGCCCCAGAAACAGCCCACACACAGCCCCAAATCCCCTGAGGAACCTCAGGAACAGCCCCAAAATCCCCCGAGGAACAGCCCCAGCAACAGCCCCAAAACCCAACAAGGAACAACCTCAGGAACAACCCACACACAGTTCCAAAACCCCCTGAGGAACAGCCCGGGCCTCTGTGAGTGTGAATTCCCTGAATCACCCTGAACCTCTCTCTCTGTGTGCCATGGGCTGTGCCCCCCAAAAAACAGCCTGAGCATCTCTGTATGTGCCCAGGGCTGTGCTCCCCAAAACCCCCCAAAAACAGCCTGAGCCTCTGTGCATGTGCCCGAGGCTATGCCCAAAAATCCCCTAAATCACCCTGAACCTCTCTTACACTGAGGAACAGGCTGAAGAACAGCTCTCACACAGCTCCAAAGCACCCCAAGGAACAGCCCAAGCCTCCGTGAGTGTGAATTCCCTGAATCACCCTGAACCTCTCTCTGTGTGCCCCCCCAAAAAACAGCCTGAGCATCTGTGTATGTGCCCGAGGCTATGCCCAAAAATCCCCTAAATCATTCTGAGCCTCTCTTTGTGTGCCCAGGGCTGTGCCCACCAAAACCCCCCCAAGAAACAGCCCGAGCCTGTGTGTGTGTGCCCAGGGCTGTGCCCACAAGCACCCTAAATCCTCCTGAAACACCTCAGTCCTCTGGGGATGTGCCCCCCAAAACACCAAATAAACACCCTGAATCTCTCTGTGTGTGCCCAGGGTTGTGCCCCCAAATCTCCTGAAACTCCCCCAAATCTCAGTGTGTCCCTGGGGCTGTGCTCCAAACACCCTAAATCCTCCTCAAATACCCCAAACCTCCTCTGGGCTCAGGGCTGGCCCCCCAAACACTCCTCAAAAAAAGCCCCCAAAGGTCTGTGTGTGTCCCTGGGGCTGTAGTCCCAAAGACCCCAAATCTCCTCAAATAAACACCCCAAAACTCTGCCCCTGCTCCTTCAGGGCATAGCCCCAAACACCCCAAATCTCCTAAAAAACCCTGAAGCTCATGGTAGCCCCCGGGGTTGTGGCCTCTCACAGGGCACAGCCCCAAACACCCCAAATTCCCCCCAAATTTTGCCTTTGCTCCTTCGGGGCGGAGTCACAAACGCCTCAAATCCCCCCCAAAATAAACACCCCAAAGCTCTGTTGTCCCCTTCCAACACTGTACCCACACACAGCCCAAAAAAACCACCCTAAACCTCTGACACCCCCAAAACCACCTTAAATCCCTGAAAACCCCCAAATCCGCCTAATTCTGACACCCCTTTTCCTGCAGGGCAGAGCCCCCAAAACTCCGCACCCCCCACAGAGCAGAGCCACGCCCCGAACCCCAACACCCCCCAGGCCTGAGAGACCCCCCCCCAAACCCCTCTTGTCCCCCCAAGGCCTGAGACCTGACACCAGAACTCGTCCCAGCTCATCCCAAGGAGCTGCTCCCATCCATCCATCCATCCATCCGTCCATCCGTCCATCCATCATCCATCCATCCATCCATCCGTCCATCCGTCCATCCATCATCCATCCATCCATCCATCCATCCATCCATCCATCCATCCATCATCCATCCATCCATCCCCCTGGGTTTCACAGCCCACATCACTGGGAGCTGGGATGCACCAGTAGGAGGTGGGAGACACCAGTGGGACGGGGGGGCGTCGAGCACTGGAGGCTGTACTGGGAGCACTGGGAGCAACTGGGAGCCGTACTGGGGTCACTGGGAGCAACTGGGAGCCGTAGTGGGAGCACTGGGAGCCGTACTGGGAGCGCTGGGAGTTGTACTGGGAGCAACTGGGAGCCGTACTGGGAGCGCTGGGAGCTGTACTGGGAGCACTGGGAGCCGTATTGGGAGCACTGGGAGCCGTACTGGGAGCACTGGGAGTTGTACTGGGAGCGCTGGGAGCCGTACTGGGGTCACTGGAAGCAACTGGGGTCACTGGGGGTATTGGGAGCACTGCAGTGCTGGAGGAACTGGGGGCATTGGGGTCTGTACTGGGAGCACTGGGAGTGCTGAGGTTCGTACTGGGAGCACTGGGGTGCCCCACGCTGCCCATTGTGAAAGCCCCGTCCCAGTCCGAAACCGGCCCAGCCTCATCCCATCCCATCCCATCCCATCCCATCCCATCCCATCCCAATCCCATTTCCACCCCAATCCCATTCCCATTTCCATCCCAATCCCAATCCCATTTCCATCCCTCCCGTCCATTCTCCTCTCAGTCCCACCCCAATCCCCCCAACACGTGACCCCCCCCAATCCTCATCCCATCGCCACCCGCCCCCCAATTCCAGTCTGCATCCCAAACCCCCTCCTACTCAAATCCCATCTCTCCCAGTCCATCCCAGTTCCCCTACCCCCCATGCCCGTTCCGTACCCCAGCCTGAAGACGTGTTTCCGTTTGCGGTAGGCCGTGGCGGGCTGGCAGCGGGCCCCGCGCAGGGGGGTGGGGGGCTCGCCGTGGTACGGGACCCCCGCGCCCGCCCCCCGCGCGTCCTTGAACACGCTCAGGGCCCCCCCCCGCAGCACGCAGTACAGGCTCTGCCAGGACCTGGGGGTCACAGGGGGGTTCAGGGGACCCCTAAACCCCCCCAGAACCAGCCCTGGATCTGCCAGGACCTGGGGGTCACAGGGGGGTTCAGGGGACCCCCAAACCCCCCCAGGACCAGCCCCGGCTCTGCCAGGACCCGGAGGCCGTTGGGACTTTAAGGGAGGGGCGTGGCCCTCAATGGGCGTGGCCATGACAGGGCGTGGCCGTGTGGGCGGGGCCAGGATGCCCATATAAGGCCATGTCATACGGGCGTGCCTGAAGGGGCGTGGTTTGTGAGTATTGGGGGCGTGGGTGGGTAAAGGGGGCGTGGCAACGAATGGGGCGTGTCCCCAGGGTGTGCCCAGGTGTGTCCCCAAGGCCGGGCCATGTCCCCAAGGTGTCCCGAGGGTGTCCCCAGAGTGTCCCCGGGTGTCCCCAAGGTGTCCCCGGTGTCCCCAAGGTGTTCCCAAGGTGTCCCCGGTGTCCCCATGGTGTCCCCAGGGTGTCCCCGGTATCCCCGCTGTCCTCAGTGTCCCCAGTTGTCCCATGTCCCCGGTGTCCCCAGCTGTCCCCAGGCTGTCCCCGGTGTCCCCAAGGTGTCCCCAGTGTCCCCAATGTCCCCAGTGTCTCCAGCTCCTGTTTCCGGCACAGCCCCCCCTCGAGGGTCTCGGGGGGGGGAGGGGCGCGGGGGGGCAGCGTGGCCGCCCCTCCCCCCGGGCCGGGCCCCCCCTCCTGCGCCCCTCTGGGGACCTGGGGAGGGGGACAGGGCTGAGGGGGGGTCCCACAGAGGGGTCCGGGGGTGCCCCCCCCTCACTTTGGGGGTCGGGGGGCTTACCTGGCCCGCGGCGCCATCGGGGCGGATCCCGTTGAGGGCTGGGGGCTCCGGGGGCCGTGTCCCCACCGTGGTCAGGCGGCTCAGGGCAGCGAATCTCTCCTCCCAGGCGGCCGCGGCCTTCTGGAAGCTCTGGTGCCGTTTGAGGAGGGTCTCGGCCTCGGCCAGGCTGGAGCCCAGCTCGGGGGCGCGGGCCAGGGGCTCCCTGCTGGCCAGCCAGGCCTCGGCCGCCGCCGCGTCGCGCCCGAACACCAGCACCTCCAGCACTGGGGACACGGGGGCGTCACCGGGGCACCGGGGGCACCGGGCAGGGACACCCCGGAGCCACCCTGAGTCACCCCGGAGCCACCCTGAGCCACCCCAGAGCCACCCCAGAGCCACCCCAGAACCACCACCGGGCACTGAGAGGGGACAGGGGGCACAGGGACACCCCGGAGCCACCTGTGAGCCACCCCTGAGCCACCCCTGAGCTACCACCGAGCACTGAGAGGGGACACAGGGACACCCCTGTGCCACCCCTGGGCACTGAGAGGGGACACAGGGACACCCCTGTGCCACCCCTGGGCACTGAGAGGGGACACAGGGACACCCCTGTGCCACCCCTGGGCACTGAGGGGACACAGGGACACCCCTGTGCCACCCCTGCCCCCCTTTGAGAGGGACACGGGCACAGGGACCCCTCAGTTCGCACCTTCTGGGTGGGGGCAGCACCCGAGCCTGGCACAGGGGACATGAGGGGACACGGGGGGGGACACAGGGGACACGAGGGGTCCCCCCAGTCCTCACCAGTCTGCAGCCACTCCAGCTTGTCCTGCCAGCGCTCCCCGATGTCCCTGCGGCGCTCCTGGAGCTCGGCCAGCTCCTGGGACAGCTGGGGACACAGGGACAGGGACTGGGACACGGGATGGGGACAGGGACAGGGACAGGGGTGGGGACAGGGATGGGGGACACGGGGACACCCCTGTGCCACCCCTGGGCACTGAGAGGGGACACGGGGACACCCCTGTGCCACCCCTGGGCACTGAGAGGGGACACGGGGACACCCCTGTGCCACCCCTGGGCACTGAGAGGGGACACGGGGACACCCCTGTGCCACCCCTGGGCACTGAGAGGGGACACAGGGACACCCCTGTGCCACCCCTGGGCACTGAGGGGACACAGGGAGCAGGGACACCCCTGTGCCACCCCTGGGCACTGAGAGGGGACACGGGGACACCCCTGTGCCACCCCTGGGCACTGAGAGGGGACACGGGGACACCCCTGTGCCACCCCTGGGCACTGAGAGGGGACATAGGGACACCCCTGTGCCACCCCTGGGCTGAGAGGGGACACAGGGAGCAGGGACACCCCTGTGCCACCCCTGGGCACTGAGAGGGGACACGGGGACACCCCTGTGCCACCCCTGGGCACTGAGAGGGGACACGGGGACACCCCTGTGCCACCCCTGGGCACTGAGAGGGGACACAGGGACACCCCTGTGCCACCCCTGGGCACTGAGAGGGGACACGGGGACACCCCTGTGCCACCCCTGGGCACTGAGAGGGGACACAGGGACACCCCTGTGCCACCCCTGGGCACTGAGAGGGGACACGGGGACACCCCTGTGCCACCCCTGGGCACTGAGAGGGGACACAGGGACACCCCTGTGCCACCCCTGCCCCCCTTTGAGAGGGACACGGGCACAGGGACCCCTCAGTTCGCACCTTCTGGGTGGGGGCAGCACCCGAGCCTGGCACAGGGGACATGAGGGGACACGGGGGGGGACACAGGGGACACAAGGGGTCCCCCCAGTCCTCACCAGTCTGCAGCCACTCCAGCTTGTCCTGCCAGCGCTCCCCGATGTCCCTGCGGCGCTCCTGGAGCTCGGCCAGCTCCTGGGACAGCTGGGGACACAGGGACAGGGACTGGGACACGGGATGGGGACAGGAACAGGGGTGGGGACAGGGACTGGGACACGGGATGGGGACAGGGACTGGGACAGGCTTGGGGACAGAGACTGGGACAGCTGAGGGGACAGGGACAGGGGTGGGGACAGGGACAGGGACAGGGACAGGGACAGGGATGGGGACAGGGACAGGGGGGGGGACAGAGACTGGGACACAGGATGGGGACAGGGACTGGGACAGGCTTGGGGACAGGGATGGGGACAGGGATGGAGACAGGGACAGGGACAGGGACAGAGACTGAGACAGGGAGGGGGACAGGGACAGGGATGAGGGGACAAAGATTGGGACACAGGATGGGGACAGGGACAGGGACAAGGGGACAAGCTCGGGGACAGGATGGGGACAAGGACACGGGGACTGAGATACAGGGGTGGGACACAGGGAGAGTGACAGGGACAGGAGGGGACACGGGATGGGGACAAGGACACGGGGACGGAGATACAAGGATGAGGTTGGGACACAGGGACAGCGACAGGGACACGAGGGGACACGGGATGGGGACAGCACCGTGGAGACGAGGATTTGAACGAGGGACGTGGGGCTGGGGGCTTGGGGACAGTGACAAGCACGGAGAGGTGGGGATGACAACGCGGTGGCAGGGTGACACAGGGGCGGGGTGGCGCGGTGACAGGCGTGTCCCACCTTGTCGGCCTCGTGGTGGCCGCGCTGCAGCAGCGCGGTGGCCGCGGCCACGCAGGCCCCGAAGGAGCCCTCGCGCGCCTCCAGCTCCGCCCGCAGCCCCTGGTGCTGCTGGATCAGCAGCTCGGCCGCGGTGACATCCCTGCCGGGGACGGGGACAGGGACAGGGACACCACAGGGTCACCTCGGGGTCACGAGGGGACACCCCGGCTCCGCCTGGGCACAGCGGGCAGGGCTGGGCCACCACGGTCACAGCCCCACGCTGGGGTCACTGCAGTGTCCTTGAGATGTCCCCAGGGCTGTCCCCATGTGTCTGTGTGTCCCCAGGGCTGCCCCCATGTCCCCAGGGCTGCTCCCGCATTCCTGTGTGTCCCCATGGCCCGGACTGTCCCCATGTCCCTGTGTCACCCCCCCCCCCATCTCCAGACAGGTGTCCCCATGTCTCAGTGCTGTCACCCTCATCCCCATGGTGTCCCTGTGTCCTCCCTGTCCCCACAGTGTCCCTGTGTCCCTGCAGTGTTCCCGTGTCCTCACGGTGTCCTCGTGTCTGCCCCATCCCTGCGGTGTCCCCCTGTCCCTGTGGTGTCCCTGCAGTGTCCCCGTGTCCCTACGGTGTCCCTGTGGTGTCCCCATGGTGTGTCCCCTGTCCCCGTGGTGTCCTGTCCCCATGGTGTCCTCAGAGTGTCCCCGTGTCCCCATGGCATCCCCATGCTGTCCCCTGTCCCCACGGTGTCCCCATGTCCCCATGGTGTTCCTGCGGTGTCCCTGTGGTGTCCCCTGTCCCCGTTGTGTCTCCATGGTGTCTCCCCTGTCCCCGCGGTGTCCCCGCGGTGTCCCCACGGTGTCCCCATGTCCCCATGGTGTTCCTGCGGTGTCCCTATGGTGTCCCCTGTCCCCGTTGTGTCCCCGCGGTGTCCCCGCGGTGTCCCCTGTCCCCGTCCCACCTGGGCCGCTCGCGGGCCTGCAGCTGCAGGGTGACGCCGTCCATCCAGAGCCGGAGGTCGCGGGCGGCGCGGAGGAACCGGAATTGCTCCACGCTGTCCCCGAGCAGGCGGCGCCGGCGCTGGCAGCGCCCGCGGAGCTCGGCCCAGGCCGCGGCCACCGCGCCCTCCTGCGCCCGCAGCTCCTCCGCCCGTGGGCCCGCGTACGCCGCGGCCAGGCGGCCCGCGGCCTCCTGGACAGCTGTCACCTGGGACACGTGTGACATGGGACAGGTGTGACAGGCGGCCCGCGGCCTCCTGGACAGCTGTCACCTGGGACACGTGTGACATGGGACAGGTGTGACAGGCGGCCCGCGGCCTCCTGGACAGCTGTCACCTGGCACAGGTGTGACACGAGACAGGTCCCGTCCCTGTCCCTGTGCCCTCACCTGTCCCCATCCCCTCACCTGTCCCTGTCCCCTCACTTGTCCCATCCTCTTACCTGTCCCCTGTCCATCCCCATCCCCTCCCCTGTCCCCTGGCTGTCCCCGTGCCCTCACCTGTCCCATCCTCTTACCTGTCCCCATCCCCTCACCTGTCCCCTGTCCCCTGGCCATCCCTGTCCCCTAGCCGTCCCTGTGCCCTCCCTTGTCCCCTGGCTGTCCCTGTCCCCTGTCCCCTGTCCCCATGCCCTCACCTGTCCCTGTGACCTCACCTGTCCCATCCCCTCACCTGTCCCCTGTCCATCCCCGTGCCCTCCCCGTCCCCCGTCCCTGTCCCCGTGCCCCACCTGCGCGCTCAGGGCCTGCACGTCGTGCTCGAAGGCGCGGTGCTGCCTCTCCAGCCCCTCGGCCGCCCTGAGGTCGCGGCCCAGCTCCTCGGGCACCTGCCGGGCCTTGGCGCGGAGCTGCTCCAGCACCTGCCGCGCGTCGCGCCGGAAGCGCTGCAGGTCGTGCGCGGCCGCCAGCTCCTGCGCCCGTGTGGCCACCAGCTCCAGCAGCTCGGCCCAGGCCTCGTTGAGCCCCGCCTGCCACTGCGCCACGGCCGCGCGCTCGGGGTGGCCGCCGCGTGTCCCCCCGTGTCCCCTCACCGTGACGTGCTCGAAGTCCTGTCCCAGCTCCCGGGACGCCGCCACCACCTCTCGCTCCGAGATCCACTGCTCCAGGTCATCGAGGTCGCGGCGCAGCTGGCACAGCCGGTGGTGGCCCTGCAGGGTGGCCCTGCGGTCCCCGGCCAGGTGACACAGCCCCGCGTAGAGACGCTGCACCTGCGCGGCGCGGGCACGGAGCCGCTCGCTGCAGGGGACAGGGGACAGCGCGTCAGTGTCACCGGGGACAGCGCGTCAGTGTCACCAGGGACAGAGTGTCACCGGGGACAGCAGTGTCACCCAAGGGGCAGCAGTGTCACCAGAGGACACGAGGACAGCGGGGTCACCAGGGGGGCAGAGATGTCACCAGGGGACGGGGGACAGCAGTGTCACCCGTGTCACCAGGGACAGGGGACAGTGGTGTCACCTGGAGAGCAGTGATGTCACCAGGGGATAGGGGACAGCGGTGTCACCTGGGGGACAAGGGGGCAGAGGTGTCACTCAAGGGACAGGGGACAGTGGGGTCAGGGGACACATGAACCTCGGGAACAGGGGACACAGGGACAGCGGTGTCACCCAGGGTACAGCAGTGTCACCAGAGGACACGGGGACAGCGGGGTCACCAGGGGGGCAGAGATGTCACCAGGGGACAGGGGACAGCAGTGTCACCAGGGCACAGCGGTGTCAGGGGACACAGGGCCATCAGTGACAATGGACGTGGCGACAGAGCAGGGACCTCAGGGGACAGCAACACGGGGACGGGGCTGTCAGGTCACACGGTGGCTGTGCCCACAGGGACGGGGGTGTCCCCAGGGTGTCCCCAGGGTGTCCCCAGGGTGTCCCCCGGGTGTCCCCACCCGTCGGGGTGGCCGCTGGCCGCCATGGCCCGGCCCTGCTGGGCCAGCAGCTCCACGGTGCCGCCGTAGTCGCGCAGCTCCTGCTCCAGCCCCAGCTGCCGGCTCAGCATGGCCTGGGCGCCCGGCTCGTCCTGGGGACACCGCGGCGTCACCGCGCTGCCACCGCCCCCCGGCAGGAGCCCTGCGTGCCCCTGACCCCTCCAGGCTGCTCACTGACCCCACAGACCCCACACAAATCCCCTCTGACCCCACAGACCGCACACAAATCCCCTCTGACCCCCCAGACCCACAGACCCCACACAAATCCCCTCTGACCCCCCAGACCCCACACAAATTCCCTCTGTCCCTCACAAATCCCCTCTGATCCTCCCAGACCCCCCCAAAACCCCATAAACCCTTCCCAATCCCCCTGAACCCATCACAGACCCCCCCACAGACCCCCCAAATTCCCTCAAACCCTTCCCAATCTCTCTGGATGGGAGGATCTAGGGGGTCTGGGAGGGGTTTATGCCGGGAATTGGCCGGGTCTGTGGGGAGTTTATGGGAGAAATTGGGGGGTCTGGGGGGTCTGGGAGGAGTTTATGAGGGGAAAATTGCGGGGTCTAGGGGGGGTTGATTGGGGAAATTAGGGGATCTGGGGGGTTTATGGGGGTTTATGGATCCATGGGGATTAGGGGGACTGAGGGGGGTTTATGGCAGAAATTGGGAGGTCTAGGGGGTCTGTGGGGGTCGTGGAATGAGTCCTGGGGGCTCACAGGGGACACAGGGGGACATTTGGGGACCCTCTGACCCACCTCGTTCTTCTGGAGCAGCAGCTGCACCGAGGGCAGGTCCTTGCCGTGGTCCGTGGACGCGGCCAGGGCCTGGCGCTCCTGCACCCACAGCTGGGGACACGGGGGACATCGGGGTCAGTGGGGACACGGGGGACATGGGGAGATTGGGGGGTCTGGGAAGGGTTTATGGGGGAAATTGGGGGGCTATGGGGGGGTTTATGGGGGAGATTGGAGGATCTAGGGGGTCTGGGAGGGGTTTATGCCGGGAATTGGCCGGGTCTGTGGGGAGTTTATGGGAGAAATTGGGGGGTCTGGGGGGTCTGGGAGGAGTTTATGAGGGGAAAATTGCGGGGTCTAGGGGGGGTTGATTGGGGAAATTAGGGGATCTGGGGGGTTTATGGGGGTTTATGGATCCATGGGGGGTCTGTGGGGGAAATTAGGGGGACTGAGGGGGGTTTATGGCAGAAATTGGGAGGTCTAGGGGGTCTGTGGGGGTCGTGGAATGAGTCCTGGGGGCTCACAGGGGACACAGGGGGACATTTGGGGACCCTCTGACCCACCTCGTTCTTCTGGAGCAGCAGCTGCACCGAGGGCAGGTCCTTGCCGTGGTCCGTGGACGCGGCCAGGGCCTGGCGCTCCTGCACCCACAGCTGGGGACACGGGGGACATGGGGGTCAGTGGGGACACGGGGGACATCGGGGTCAGTGGGGACACGGGGGACACCGGGGGCAGTGGGGACACGGGGGACATCGGGGCCAGCGGG